AGGCTCCGGAGCCTCCTGGGAAGAGCCGCCCCCCGCGCCCCCCGCAGCATTCCAGTGTCCCAGAGGGTGGTGGGCCTCTCTGGTACGCAGCTGCCGCCCGAAGCTGCCCTCCCCGTCGCCAGCCTGGTGGCCTTCCGCAGTCTGGAGGGCTGGGAGTGAGACTGCGGGTGGGCAGCTGGTGGCCCTTGTCTGCGTGGGGAGTGGTCTGAGCAGGGACAGAGAAGGGCCTCCTTCCCCAGCAGCTACGGAGGGCTAAAGGGACAAGGATCCCCACCTGGGAGGGCCTGCAGCTATGCCCCTCTTCACCGGCTCACGCCAGCCGGCCTGGGGAACGGCTGCTGCTGGATGGCTCAGGTCTTCTGGCACTGCCCTTCCTGACATTTGAGGAGGGAGGGGTTGTCTCCCTGCTCCCCCTGCGGTGAAATGCCTCCTGTCAGAGCAAGCTCTCTTCTGAGCTTCCTAGTTCCAAGGTACTGACATGTTTTCATAAAAGGGAGGAAAAGGAGAGGAAGGGGAACAGTGGGGACCCTGGTCCCCTCCAGATGTGTTGCATTGCAGCTGTTACGGTTCTCAACTGGCATGCCCATTTAGCAAGCTGCTTCTGTTCCCCAGGTCTCCTTTTCTTGAAACATCTCTGTAAGTAGATGAGGAAGGGGCTCCGTGGGGCTGCCTCCTCTCTCTCCACCAGCCCCTGCAGGTCCTGAGCCCCCAGCTCCCTCCCTGCTCCTCGAGCTCTTGCACCCCACACTCCTTCAGGCATGTCCCCTTCCCCCCCAGGGCACGGACCTCCAGAAGAAAATTGACCACGAGATCCGCATGCGGGAGGGGGCCTGCAAGTTGCTGGCGGCATGCACTCAGCGGCGGCAGGCACTGGAGGTCACCAAAAGCCTCCTCGTCTGCAACAGCCGCATCCTGGCATACATGGCTGAGCTGCAGCGCATGAAGGAGGCGCAAGTGATGCAGCGCATGGCTCGACGGTGAGTCGGCCTCCGTGGGGGAGAGGGAAGGAGCCGACTGGAAGTCTGCAAGGTCAGCGTACAGGTGTGCTCAGAGGCATATGCAGAGGGTCAAGGAGAGCCTTGGAAGGGAGGCCCTTGAAGGATAGCTTAAGGCGACCTTGAGCCCAGCGCCAAGCCAGGGGCTCCCAAAGTCTTTTGGGACTAAAGCTTTCATCATCCTTGACTGTTGGGGATGCTGGCCAACCTGTAGGACCACCGGTTACTCTCTTCCTCCGGATTGCGGGGAGCCCTTCTGGGCTTAATACATGAAAATTGTCCCTGCAGTTTTAGCCATATTCTGTTATGTTTTACTGTGTATTAAGTCAGAAAAATACTTGAAATTGAGATTTGGTAGCTGGCTTCCATGTCAGAACAAAAAAAAGTGCTCAGTGCAAACCTTTACAACAATCCTGGAGGGTGGATCAGTGTTCCAGTTACAGATGCGCAAGAGAAAATGGGTCTCCTGTTTCTTACCCGCCTCCCCCCCCTGCAACCCATCTGGAGGGAGGGAGTGGGGGAACAGCCCCCAACTTCCCTGGCCCACCAGGCAGCCTTCCGCGGCCTGCTGCAACATCTTGGGAGGCGTTTTGAGGTCAGACGCAGAGGGGTGGGGCCAGCCTCTGCCAGGGGCCAGGCCTTTCCTGAGGGGGCATCCCTTTCCACAGCCGTCCGCCTTGCTCGAAGAAGGAGGATGCTGCTGTTCCTCCTCTGCTATTAAGATGGTGTCCCAGTTAAATCTCTTTTTATCTACTGTGGATGTAAATCCTTTAAACAATTTGTGCTCTGCCATCAGATCCGATGTTGGAAGGGGCCAGGTAGGGCATGAGTTCAACCCAGAAAGTAAGTGGGGGCAGCTTTTCCAACGTTAATCCTAACCTTGTGCTGTCCCCCCCAACACAGCTAGGAGCGCTCTCCAAGCCCACCTGTTGTCAAGCCAGCCCGCAACTCCGCTTTTCGCATCTCCTCTCAGGAGCGCCCACCCCTCTCAAGCTCCGTGCCCTGTTCGTTTTTCTTGCCATGGAAACCTGTTCCTTGCTGCTCCATTCTCGCCCACTTCCTGAACACCAGGGGACATGGTCCACTCCCTTCAAGCCAAGGATGCCGGCGCTCCTTTTCCTGTTCCCCGTCCCTTCCAGAGGGGTGGGTGGCGCATCTAGGCTCTTTGGGGCTGCCTCCCCTCCTGGGTGAGGAGCAGGGGATGTGGGCAGGCCTCTCTCAGGACAGCTTTAGGCTTCTTTGAAAGGTCTGCAATTGTACCCGTTGGATGACCTCCTCCTCCTCCTGCTTTCTCCACGGCTGGGCAGGCGGCAGACGGCACCAGCCGCCGCCCTGCTTTATTTTATTTTAATTCCTCCCCTCTTTCTATGGCTGCTGCTCCTTTCAGACAAATTCTGTCCTTCAGTCACTGTCTTCAGAGCCCAGAACTGCCTGACCGAGTCTCTGCTACGACTTAATAAGTCACGTTTGCCCTCCTCTGCTAGGACGTTGGGCTCCTCCTGCGTATTTGCCGTTCTCTGAGCGTGAGGGTGGTGAGTCAGTGTCCTCTCTGATGCTGCATTCTCACCTCCGGGGACGGTGACGTGCCTTGAGATAAGGCTTTTGAATCCGCCCCCCGCCCCCGGGTTCAGTTTAAAGCTGTCTGATCAACCTTGCCATGCTTCCTTCAAACATCTTTACCAGGCCTTGTGCCATGGCCCCGGAGACCATGACTCTCCTGTCCACACCATTTGCAAGTGCAGAATCATAGAGCCGGGGTCCGAAGGGGCCATCGAGTCAACCTCCTGCTTGGTGCAGGATCTGCTAAGGCACATTGGACAGGTGGCTGTGCTGTTTGAAGAACTCCAGAGAAGGGATCGTGCCTCGTTCTCCTCTGTCTTCCCGGTCCTTTCCCATGGACCGGAACGATGGATGAGAGCATTGCCCAGCCTTCTCCGTCCTGTGCTTTCTTCCTGGGCCTTCAAACACCTCGGCTGATAGGGCTGGGTCTGTCTTCTGTGGTATCATTTGTCCTCATGCGAATTAGCAGAAAGAGATCACTGTCAGTGGATCTGCTAAATCTTCCACGCTTCATGGGTCCGGCCAGCACCTATTTGTTTCAGTGGCTGAGGGAGCCACCAGCGACCCCCTCTCTTCCGCTTGTCTCCTTGCAGGGCACAGCTGCACCTCCCCTGCCCTTCGGGGATCCCCCCCTCACGTTGTCTCTTTTGCTTTCCCTGGAGACTCGGAGCTGGTTTCTTCTCTGGGGGCCTGGAAACTCTTCGGCGTTCCGGTGCCCAGTGCCTGGTGGCAGATCTGTTCCCTTTGCCAGGCGCTGGGTTAGCTCCTCTTTTTGCGTCTGGCACATGCTTATCCCTGCTCATCAGCTGAAGCAGAGCCACTCTCTGCCCCGACCCTTTGGATACTTTTTCAAGGACTGCTGCACGGCTTCCTGTGGAGATACTCCGGGCTGTTTTCAGACAGGAACACAAGCGTGCTACAAGCACCGCGGGTCACCGGTACAGACTGCTGCCCATTCATCTTCCAGTTCAGGCAGTACCAATAGAAAATAATTTTAATTCTTGCTTCCCTCGCGGGTTAGCCAAGTACAAGCTCTCTACTCAGAGGGAAAAGGTGTTAGGGACTCACTGTTCATGTTAGTCCCCACTGAAGTTAGTCCCCTCCCCCCAGCAGACTTGTTCCTCTGTTCACGCAGTTGCTTAATCTTCTCAGGTGCCAGTAAGAAATGTTGTCCTTCTCGTAACAGCCAGAGTCATACATTGTATCGGGGGTGGTTTAATAATTATAGTTGTTGTTGTTTTAATAATGCTTTCTTTCACCATCTCTCTTATCTGCATCCTGTCCCACAACTCAGTCCTTCTGAGGCTGGACCCACAGATGGTCGCTTACCATGTCGGGGCCGAATCTGTGTCTCAGGTAAGGAACCGCTGAGCCTCTGGGTCGAGCCGGATTGCTGCTTTGCTCAAGCCACGGAGGCCCGTTTCTCCACGTGCATGCACACGCGGGAGAAATGGGAACGCGGGTCTCATTCCAGTCACTGCTTCCTTAATGAGACATTTATTTGGCAGCATGTGTAAGCCTCCCCAATCTCAGATTACAAAGCGACAGTTGATATCAGTTAATAGAATAAAGCAAATCCATATTTAATTCACATTTTGCTGTCTGAAAGAAGAGGAACCTAAGGGCCACATGATTGTTTTCTTTTTCTGTCAGTATTTGCTAATCAGGGAAGTTTTGATAGAAATAATAGAAGAATCACACTGAAGGAAGATAGTTTTTGAGACCTACTTGCGTACAACGTCTGCTATCCCAGTATTATTTCGCCTGATCTGGGCTGGACTGAGCAATAGAGCTTCAAAAGGAAGCCAGGAAAAGATGTCTTGCTGCCACAGAAGACGGTTTCTGGCTACGCGATGTAATCTTTTTCTACGGGTGCAGATTGGAGATGGAACACACCATTAGAACATTGTATAAAACTGACACGGCTCCACTGGTGTTGAAGTAAATGTCTCCAGAGTCACGGAATCGGCACCGGAGCTTTTCCAGCAGGGCTGCTTGTTTCTCCCTAGCTAATAATCCCTGCTCTGCCATTCGTGCCTCCATCTCACCCAGCCAGGCTCAGCTGTGACACTGTTGTAGAAGCAGAGGTCCCTTGGATCTCCCGGGCCAGGGGTAGGGGGGAGCTAAGTTTCCCCAAACCCAAAGCACGGCCCGTGTACCGCCAGGACTGGCGTGGTGCATCAGTGCTTCATCCCTTGCTGGAGAAATTGCAGACCCCTGCAGCTGGGAGCCACGGAGTCCGACAGGTAATTGCAAAAAGAGATAATTCCATTCCAGTTCTTCCTTGTCTGAAGTACATGGACTGAGATTTGTGACAGGAAACAAGTCATGCATCGGATGCTATTAATGGTGGGTGTAGTATTAATAACGGGACGGTGATCTGTAACTCTCTCCCCTTCTTCCAGATCTCCGGATCCCCCTGATGTGGAAGGACACGGAATATTTCAAGAACAAGGGGGGTAGGTTCCTCGCTGGCAGCCCTTACATTGTCTGTCTTATCCTCTCTTCCGTTTGTTCCTTTGTGACCCCAACAGCTACGTACAGAAGTGTGTATGGAAGTACCTGTTCTGTACGTAGCTACTTCCGTACGCAGCTGTTGGGGTCACGTAGGAAACAAACGGAGGTACGTGATGTACATTATGGGTTTGTACTTGAAACATATGCAGCTACATCCGGGGCTGGGTTTGGCTGAAATCTCCTTTTGCAAAAGAAAGGACAGTGGTATTTGGCCAATACCTGTAATGCCAGAAACACACAATTGCCCTACTCTGTCCACTGTGTTTTTAAAAGATGGTGTATAGAAATTATCCTGGCCCTTCCCAACCAGAGCCCTTCAGACATTCTGGACCTCAGCTCCCATCATTCCACAATGACGGGAAGATATGAACCACTGTTGAAGCTATCTGGCTGGGGAAGGGGGATCTCAGTGAACCATTCTGGGCCTGGGAGTGAGGGGCCAGACAGCACCGGCCTTGTTGCAGGGCTTCATCCTCAGGGTTACAAAAGCCCCTGCTCCCTCCTAACACGGCAGCCAGACGAGCCTGCCTTTCCTCCCGGGGATCTGCAGGCCCCGGCAGGCCCCTCGTGCCTTGGAAGAGGCCCCTCTGGATCTTCCAGCACCTGTGGATCCAGTGTGAAGGAGGCTGGTGGGGGCGGGGGGTGGTGGTAGAGTGGCCTTGGAGCTGTGGGAACTGTAGCTCGGGCACCAAATGCCTCCTTTTTCCGGACCAGACTTGCATCGCTGTGCGGTGTTCTGCCTGCTGCAGATCGGCACGGAAATCTATGACACGGAGATGGTGCTTGTAGACAGGACGCTGGCCGACATCTGCTTTGAGAACACAGTGCTCTTGTGAGTCTCACTCCCTTTTCTGACGGTTTGGGAATCCCATATTGGCAACAGGCAGGGAATGGGAGAAGGGCGGTTTGTGCCCCGCCTTCCTCCAGATCTGGTCGTGTCCCTGGCATTTCACGTTTTGGGTGGAATGCGGTCTTTTGGAGGCTTGGTGGGAATGGTGAAGTTAGTGTGCCAGGGAGAGGTCGGGAGAAAACCCCAAGGCCTACAGAAGGGGATGGGTGGGGGGGGCCTGCAGACAGGCGTCTGAGCCCAGAGGAGATGCTGCAGGCAGGTTGGCCCTGAAACCCTGCCTGGTGCCTGCCTGGCACCTGCTCTAACTGGCTCCCAGATGGCGCTTCTGGCGGGCCAGCTGGGATCCGTGTTTGCTGGTGCTCAGACCCAGTGTGGGGCTGACTCTGGCGTCTCGCCCTCTCCCCAGCACCGAGGCTGGCCCGGACTTTGAGCTGAAAATTGAGCTCTACAGCGCAGCCCTGGAGGAGGACTCAGCCCTGGGCACCACCCCCAAGAAGCTGGCCAGCCGCCTAAGCAGCTCACTGGGGCGCTCATCCGGGAAGCAGATGCGGGCTGCCCTCGATGGCAGCAGCTCGGGGAACAACGGGAGATGCAGTCCACTGCTTCTGCCCGCGCCCCCCAGTGTGACGTGAGTACCATCCCTCCCTCCACCTGCTTTCTCGGGGGCGGCGGGCCCCCCCCCCCCCCCCCCCCCC